CTGCAGACGATAGTCAATATTCATGATCTGAATCAATGTTCATTATCTTATGTTGTATTATTCATTATCTGATGTAGTAAATTTTCATGATCTGCCATAATTATTCATTAGATGAAGGCGTCATTATATTGTTGATGAGGCCAATTCATTTTGAGATGTCAGTTTAATAGTTTGGTGTCAAAAGGTGTTTTCTGATCACGTGGTGGACGATGCAATGCATGAATTCACTAATAGCCGGAGAAGAGGCCAAAACCATATAGCTTGTTGCGGAGGAGGGGGATGCCAATGGGTTCACATAATACTGTTGGGCAATGTTATTTTACCCAACATTGGTTTGAAATTACCTCATTGTGGGTTGATTTGGGTAAAACTCATCCGACTTTTGGGAAGAATTTGTCCAAGAGTTTAGCCTGTAGATATGTTGACCAACACTGGTCTACGTATCAACCAATTTTGCCCCACGTTTTGACAGTGTACCCCAATGAGTTTCCAGTCGGTGTCCACATTAACGTTTTATTGATAAGACGCAAAATAGCCCTTCCGAAGGCGGGTTAATAGCGGGGTGGTTGGTTGGATGACCAAACCCAACTCCAAGAAGAATGTAATGTAGAATGAATTTGTAATTCCTGGGGACGAGTTTGAGGGATGATTAGGAACTTATTTTAAAGTGGGATTACGTCCTGTGCGTCCAATGAGCTACAAATCGCGTTTTGTACGAAATGATTTAAATTGGAAAGAGCATTTCAAAGTAGGATAATGTTCACACAACCATTCTTTAAAAACGAGGCGTTTTGTGTTATTCTTGCGAGAATGAGTTTCAGGGGTCAAACTTTTGACACTCAAAAATGGAGCTGTTGAGGGCTTGTTGCGATTCCTGCCGCGCGCAGAGTGCGTCGCATTCTACGGACCTGCCAGAACCACTCACAGCGTATATCGTGCATGTGGAATGGAAATCATTTCGTCTTATACATAGACTTGTTTCTAAACTTTCTACAGAATGAGTAAAAAAAACGGAACACAAACATCAAAATATATTTTTTATGATTAAAAAAATATGTAGCACCAACAATAATATTGATCGGAAAGTCAATTTCATGAACTACTTTTAGGTGAAAAAAAATACTCAAATTGCTTCATGTATATCACCATTTGAACACAATGACCCTAAAACCTCTTTCATCCAAAAATGCGATTTCAAGAATCGTCATCACAATGTTTTCAAACATCACCAGCGATAAAACCTGAATTTAAAAGTTAAAAACAAATCAACAAATTTGAAGGCCCGTCTTTTGATTTATAAAGCACATTTTAAGCAGGGTTGTTGATAATAAAGATATTGTGTACAGTGTAGTCCTGTGGTTGACAGTTGCTAAAACAAGTCTCGATTTACCATTATCATTTTTAGAGGGGGCCACGGACATTTTGCACCCCAACCCATTAATTTACAGCAATAATTATGACTTCGCGCCTCTTTTTCTTTTCCTTTTTTTTCTCTTGTTTTGTATTGGCTTTTCCCAGAGCTCGGGGGAGGGGCAAGCGCCTTACTACACATTTGTTCAGTATTGCGAAAAAGAATGACTAAGATTTCATCATAACGGGGGATGTCCCAAAGCCCCGTCTATAACATCTTGCGCATTTTGGGATTTCCAAGTTCAGCAACTAAATGGTGCATTTTGGAAAGTGTATGTGTGTGTTTTCCCTACATTTGGGAAAAACCCACTCAATGGTTTTGGATGGAGTTCAGGACATGCATGCAAACTTTGATTACAGTTCTGTTCCAATATAATTTGAAGTGATATTTGGAATTACAAAATGAACCAGTCATTCCCATCGCATGACTGTCTAATTTGAGGGGTGATCCCAACCTCGTCCCCAGTGCTTACTTTATTTCCAACCGCGTTTCCAATAGTAAACCCTGGATAGGAAACTTTCTTCCTGTATCCTGATTGGATACCGCAATTGGCTAGTAATGGATTTTTATCGTGTACTTGGTGCTATATATTCACAACGTGCAGTACGTGTTTTCACGACCATTCGTCCACGCCTTCTCGAAAATACTAATTTCCTTTCCAATTAGCTCATATTAATATGAAATATGATACTGCATGTTGTCTCGATAAGATCGTAACAGTTTGATTTTAAAAATCGTGTTTTCGTAACTCACGCCGTGCTCGCGCTGCTACGAATTGACTCTGTTTTTACCCCAGACACCGCATACAAAAACAAACGCTAATGTGTAACGCATATCCAGGCACCAGACTGTTCCTCATTTGCATACGTGTGCAAAAATCTTGCACATGCAAATGATCCAATACCAGGGTGAGAGAGAGCAGGTAGTGGTGGGCGCGTACTGCTCGACACCTTGGGGATGAGGTTGGGGTGAATCCCTTTACTCGCCCCGTCCTGTAGGCGACATTTCTCATCGAATACAAACATTGGAAATTCCCAGATGAGAAACCCGTCCTACAACAAAAGAATCCCCCGAAATTCCAAAACGAAAATGTATGGAACAACACAAAGAGCTCTGTCATGGTACGTTAGGGTCGACAAAAGACGCTTTTTTTGAGCGAGAGAAGAGGTGAAAGATCATCCGGGGAGGAATTTAAGTGCCGTGTGATTGCTTCTGGTGATTACGGCATACATGTACATTTCAATGTGTATGCTGATACATGTAGTATACTAGCAGGGGAGGCGGAACGCTTTCAAACGGGGGGGGGGGGGGGGGCGGGGACTCCAAAAAGGGCACTTGCTCATAAAAGGGGCACCTTCCGTCGATGTGAAACTGGAGGAAAAGAATATGGATATGGTCCCGTTCATTTCGCTATAAACCTATATGACGAGGAACAAATTATGAATACGATGTCCCTTTTGCTTTTTGTGTTTCTTTTACCCACATACTAAGTTTGTACGAAATGATTTTAATTGGAAAGAGCATTTCAAAGTAGGATAATGTTTACACAACCATTCTTTAAAAACGAGGCGTTTTGTGTTATTCTTGCGAGAATGAGTTTCAGGGGTCAAACTTTTGACACTCAAAAATGGAGCTGTTGAGGGCTTGTTGCGATTCCTGCCGCGCGCAGAGTGCGTCGCATTCTACGGACCTGCCAGAACCACTCACAGCGTATATCGTGCATGTGGAATGGAAATCATTTCGTCTTATACATAGACTTGTTTCTTAACTTTCTACAGAATGAGTAAAAAAAAACGAACACAAACATCAAAATATATTTTTTATGATAAAAAAAATATGTAGCACCAACAATAATAATGATTGGAAAGTCAATTTCATGAACTACTTTTAGATGAAAAAAAATTACTCAAATTGCTTCATGTATATCACCATTTGAACACAATGACCCTAAAACCTCTTTCATCCAAAAATGCGATTTCAAGAATCGTCATCACAATGTTTTCAAACATCACCAGCGATAAAACCTCAATTTAAAAGTTAAAAACAAATCAACAAAGTCCTTTTGAAGGCCCGTCTTTTGAAAAAAAGTGGATTTATAAAGCACATAAGCAGGGTTGTTGATAATAAAGATATTGTGTACAGTGTAGTCCTATGGTTAACAGTTGCTTAAACAAGTCTCGATTTACCGGTATCATTTTTAGAGGGGGCCACGGACATTTTGCACCCAAACCCATTAAATTACAGCAATAATTATGACTTCGCGCCTCTTTTTTCTTTTCCTTTTCTTCTCTTGTTTTGTATTGGCTTTTCCCAGGGGCTCGGGGAGGGGCAAGCGCCCCCTTCCCCTTCCCCCCTCTCTCGACGCCCATGCGTTCTTATTACACATTTGTTCAGTATCGCGAAAAAGAATGACTAAGATTTCATAGCCCCGTCTATAGCATCTTGCGCATTTTTGGATTTCCAAGTTCAGCAACTTAATGATGCATTTTGGAAATGCCCATTATCTTTATAACCGTAAGAAGAAATTGTACATGTAGGCTAGGCTATGTGTGTGTTTTTCCTACATTTGGGAAAAACCCACTCAATGGTTTTGGATGGAGTTCAGGACATGCATGCAAACTTTGATTACAGTTCTGTTCCAATATAATTTGAAGTGATATTTGGAATTACAAAATTAACCAGTCATTCCCATCGCATGACTGTCTAATTTGAGGGGTGATCCCTTTTCTTGCCCCGTCCTGTAGGTGACATTTCTCATCGAATACAAACATTGGAAATTCCCAGATGAGAAACCCGTCCTACAACAAAAGAATCCCCCGAAATTCCAAACCGAAAAATTTATGGAACAACACAAAGAGCTCTGTCATGGTACGATAGGGTCGACAAAAGACGCTTTTTTTGAGCGAGAGAAGAGGTGAAAGATCATGCGGGAGGAATTTAAGTGCCGTGTGATTGCTTCTGGTGATTACGGCAAACATGTACATTTCAATGTGTATGCGGATGACTAGCAGGAGAGGCGGAACGCTTTCAAACGGGGCAACTCCAAAAAAGGGCACTTGCTCAGAAAAGGGGCACCTTCCGTCGGTGTGAAACTGGAGGAAAAGAATATGGATATGGTCCTGTTCATTTCGCTATAAACCTATATGACGAGGAACAAATTATGAATACGATGTCTCTTTTGCTTTTTGTGTTTCTTTTTCCCACATATCTTTTTTGTCGCGAGAGGGGCACTGTTGCTTTAGATATATGGCCAGTTCATTGACCATTTTATTCGCGTGAATAGTACTATTATTTTTTAGGGGCAAGGGGCCATATTCATTACGTAGCCAACTAGGCCTTAGTAGGATACTAAATGCCTATTAGTCTAATATGGAGTTGACAACTAAATTGCAATTCATGAAACCTTACTAAGAACCTTACTAAGTAGTTACATACTAGGGGAATTTAGTTGCATACCTGACTAACTGGAATTGGGTTCTTTTGGGTGGAGTGGGCATGTATGGAATGTGATGACAACAGATACAATAGTGTCGTGTATTAGGCTAATCCATGTCCAGAACTTGCGTGGATTAGCAAAAAAAATGACCAAGGCCTATAATATAGTGTACTGCATGTAAGTGAATCGACATCAAATCCTCTAGCAATTGTGTATAAAGCTAGGTCATCAGACATGGCTATAAAAAAGGCAAGGAAGGCAAATTATTCTCAAGATGTCAACTATTTATGGCAGACAAGTATGAGGAATTAAAAGATGTTATTTATGCTAAGCATAAGGATGCAAACACTAACAAGAAAAAGAAAGATGCATGGGCGGCTGTAACTGATGACGGTACTTCGTTATAGCGCCCTCAAACGACCAGAAGTTTCACCACGCATAAGTTCATCACACGTGTCTCAGAAATTACAGTCATTAAATTCAGTCAAATTTGAAGACACAGAGGCATGGAGGTAATATAAATTGTACCTTTTGTGATTGTTTAAATGTTTAATAGAAATATAAGATGGTTTTAATTCATTGTAAGGCCAAACTTTGCTATAAGAAATGAAACTTAAACACAATAATCGTACATGCATTATAGATTCTGCCCAATGTTTATTGTAGCGATGTACATGTACACATGTGATTCCATAGGTTTACAAGTTCAATTGATTAATTTTATTAATCCAGTGCTGATCAAGAATTATTTGACTAATTTCTTTCTATAAATTCTGTGATTGTCTAAGGACAGGATACATGTTGCAATTCGTCGCTGACACATGTTCATTCATATTGTTCATGTTAATCTGCCATACCACATGTGTGTGTACAAGTGTACTGTACATGTAAGTTAAGGTCAGCTTTATAATGTGACTGTTTCAAACTAGGGTTTCTCATCTAGGGTTTTCTCATGGACTTAACTGTGGTTCCCTGTGTGTTATTCAATATAGTTTTCACGGAGTGAGTTATAACATGGAGTGAGTTATAACATGGAGTGAGTTATAACATGGAGTGAGTTATAACATGGAGTGAGTTATAACATGGAGTGAGTTATAACATGGAGTGAGTTATAACATGGAGTGAGTTATAACATGGAGTGAGTTATAACATGGAGTGAGTTATAACATGAAGTGAGTTATAACATGGAGTGAGTTATAACATGGAGTGAGTTATAACATGGAGTGAGTTATAACATGGAGTGAGTTATAACATGGAGTGAGTTATAACATGGAGTGAGTTATAACATGGAGTGAGTTATAACATGGAGTGAGTTGTAACATGGAGTGAGTTATAACATGGAGTATTAAAGGAGCACCAAAAATTAAATACTTGACACTTCAGTGAAATACATCATACATTGTACTGTGAGTCTACAACGTGTGATCTGAGATACAGCGACAGCGGCTATTCTCATCGATCACCGTTCAAGATTTTCACAGGTTGAAAGATCATTGGATGATTTAAAAATTAGATTATCCAAATTACAATCTGAGTCAAGAGAATGCCTGTCAAGTATGAGAATTATAAGTCCAAGAAGGCAACCAGAGGGGGAAAGCCACCTAAAGAGCCAAGTCTGGCACAACAAACAATGATATAGTTGCTAACTAGTGACTTAGAGTTGCCCTGGATTAACACTAACTTTAGTAAGAAACTTAGAATTTAACTAATGCTAGTAATGTTTCATGAATACCAATCAGTTACCAACTATAGGCTTAGGCCAAAAAAAAAAATATTCGGCCTCTGGTCAGACCAAAGTTCCGGAATTGACGCGGCCACGCGGCTTTTTAGGTGTTGGGCCTGAGCCCAACACCTATTGTTTTTGTTAGAATTTACTATTATTTTTTTTTTTTTTTTTTTTTATTATTATTCTTCAAGACACATTTCTTCTCCGGAACTGTTTGTCAACATGAAAAGTAATATGAACTTTAATTGTCAATACATGAATGCACAACCCACTGAAGATGTGCTTTTTTGCAATTACGTCATTATGACGTCATCATGGGTCACGTGACGTCACTTCCAAAAATAATAAATTTAATCTTTGAAATTCAATAAAAAATCAACCGTGAGAGACCGAAACTTGAATTTTGCGGGAATCGACATGATAATACATGCTCTTCAATTAATCTTGTGTGCGTAAAATCACATGACCCTTCCTTCCGGTCGAAACCGGAAGTGCCTAATAATTCAAAAGTGGAAAAAGATATGAACTTGCTTTCAACGATGTTAGCCTGTGGATGGGTTGATCTTTCCAAAAAAATGATCGGTGACGCCATCAAGTGTTTGAGCGCCCTCTAGCGGCAGGTTAAAACATTTCCAAAACGCATTTTCAGTTGATGTCTGTGGCGAAATTTGCGGTAATTGCTTCTAAATTAATATACATAATGACCTTAATGCAGAAAAGACCTGTGCACGAAAAAAAAATGATTACGTCATCAGACGGGAAGTTACAATGAAAATACCTCTTTTCCTTTGAAAATTGTTAAAAAATCAACCGTCAGAGATATAATCCAGTTTTGTGCTTTAAATGGCACTTTAATAATAGGTCTAAAACTTCCCAAGGTTTCGTTACAATAAATTTACTAGAAGATGCCCTGCAGCCCCCTTGAAGTTTGAAGTTGAACACGCCTACGCATTGAAACACTCATTTAATGCCACGTACATTGTGTGTACAGCAAATGGGGATAATTGCGTACAAAGGGAAAATCCCGAAAAACAGTGTGCCGCGATTGCGTAAAAGGGAACTTCCCCCCATATGATACTCAAACATTGGTCTGGTAAAAGCGCCCAATTGGGCGCTTTTTCAAATTGGGCGCTTTTTCTAAAAATATGCGCATTGGGGTTAAGAGGGTATGGCGAGCAATATCTTGAATTGCGCCAATGGTGTGCGATTTTTACTTTTAGAGATATGAGCTATTTAATGGGTTTTTGTAACAGTTGTACTAGATAAGTTTACAGTACAGCAGCATACGCGCGTGCAGATCCTCACCTGACTCTTTTTAACTATCCTCTGTATAATTACTCCACGCGCTATTTTTCAAAACCCTCAATCCTCAACATCAACAATCAACAATCAACATTAACATTAACATAAACAATCAACATCAACAATCAACATCAACATCAACAATCAACAGCAACATCAACAATCAACATCAACAATCAACAATCAACATTAACATCAACAAACAACATCAACAAACAACATCAACAATCAACATCAACATCAACAATCAACATCAACATTAACAACAACATCAACAATCAACAGCCACAATCAACAATCATTATTAACATCAACAATCAACAATCAACATCAACATCAACATCAACAATCAACATCAACAAAAAATCAAAATCAACATCGACAACCAACATCAACAATCATCAACAATCAACATCAATAATCGTTAATCAACAACACCAATCAATTATCAACAATCAACAATTGACATTAACAACCACCGTCAAATTCAATTGACAATCAACATCAATATTATCAATCAACAATCAACATAAACATAACCAACAATCAACATCAACAATCTACATTAACAATCAACGACAACAATCAACAACAATCAACAATGTGAAAAAGGCAAACCTCTAGCCCAACACCGTGTGTTTGTCCTCAAACTCTAGTGTATTTTTGTGTTTGTTGACTATTCTCCTTTGTAAAAATTTGCAAATTCTTCTCCGGAACTGTTTGTCAAAATGAAAACATATATGAACTTCAATTGTCAATAGATGAATGCACAAGCCACTGAAGATGTGCTTTTTTGCAGTTACGTCATCATGACGTCATCATGGGTCACGTGACGTCACTTCGAAAAATAATAAATTCAATCTTTGAAATTCAATATAAAATCAACCGTCAGAGACCGAAACTTGAATTTTGCGGGAATCGACATGGTAATACTGATCTTCATTTTATCTTGTGCGCGTAAAATCACGTGACCCTTCCTTCCGGTCGAAACCGGAAGTACCTAATAACTTAAAAGTGGAAAAAGATATGAACTTGCTTTTAACGATTTAAGTGTCTGCCTGGATTGACTTTTCAAAAAAACTAATGGGTGACGCCATGAAGTGTTGGAGCGCCCTCTAGCGGCAGGTTAAAAAAGTCAAAAACGCATTTTCACTTGATGTCTGTGGCGAAGTTTGCGGTAATCGCTTCAAAATTAATGTACATGATGACCGTAATGCAGACAACACCTGTGCGCGAAAAAAAAATGATTACGTTATCAGACCGGAAGTTACAATAAAAAGACCTTTAAACCTTAAAAAATTGCTAGAAAATATACCGTGATAGATAAAATCAAGATTTGGCTGTATATAGCACAGTTAAAATAGCTCTTGAACTTTCTGGTAATGACGTCATAATGACGTCATCAAGTATCGTATTACTAGCAATCAAAGATTTCTAGATGAAATCTTTGAAAATCAATATAAAATCAGCTGCTACAGATTTGATTTTGTATTTTATGGCAATCGATACAATATTGCAGGGTCTTCAGTTTTGGTATTTGGTGCAAAATCACGTGACCCTTCCTTCCGGTCGAAACCGGAAGTGTCTTATTATTTGAAATTGGCAGAAGATGCGAACTTGCTTTCAATGATGTGAGTGTCTGCCTAGGCAGTACTGTACAAAAATTTTACAGGTGACGTCATCAAATGTTAGTGCGCCCTCTGGCGGCATGTTGAAAAAGTCAAACATGGATTTAAACATGCATATTTTGAGTTGATGTGTGTGGCAAAGTTTTCGGTAATCCATGGCCCAACACCGTGTGGTTGTTCCTACAACCTCTAGTGTATTTTTGTGTTTGTTGACTATTCTCCTATGCAAAAATTTGCAAATTCTTCTCCGGAACTGTTTGTCAAAATGAAAACATACATGAACTTCAATTGTCAATACATGAAGGCACAACCCACTGAAGATGTGCTTTTTTGCAATTACGTCATTATGACATCATCACGGGTCACGTGACGTCACTTCAAAAAATAATCAATTTAATCTTTGAAATTCAATATAAAATCAACCGTCGGAGATCGCAACTTGAATTTTGCGGTAATCGACATGATTAGACAGGACCTTCAATGTATCTTGTGCGTGCAAAATCATGTGACCCTTCCTTCCGGTCCAAACCGGAAGTGCCTGATAATTTGACAGTGGAAAAAGATATGAACTTGCTTTCAACGATGTTAGTGTCTGGATGGTTGACATTTTAAAAAAAAGTGATCGGTGAAGCCATGAACAGTTTGAGCGCCCTCTTGCGGCAGGTTAAAAAAATAACAGCGTTGCTGTTGAAACCCCTCAGCCAGAGTCAAGTTATCATCCGGAAACCATTAACCTTTAACTCAACGTGGTGACCTTGACCTTTGGCCTTTGACCCCAGAACCAGTCCCAACATGCCTGTACCAATGGGAAACCCCCTACCGAAGTTAGACACCAACATTTCATTTCTAACTCAAG